CTTACATGCAGTTATTACAATTACATACATAATTAAATAGATAATAGTACATACAGTACATACATACATACATAATAGTAAATATTAATAGATTAAATAGTCAAGGTAAATATGGGTTTGAAAACTCTAATTAGTAGCCAGGTGTCATACGTTTTTATTGAATATATAGCTAGTGATTCTTTTCCTCTTAATTCATTTGGGAGACTATTCCACAGTTTAGCCCCTCTATAGCTAAGACTTTTTTTAAGATATTCAGTCTTAGGCTTGGGCAAATGGAGTTTAGTGGAAGAGCCCCGCAAATTATAATGCTGGGAGGAAGACGTCTTTTGAAAAATATCAGTAAGTCGTAAGGGCGCTAGATCATGAGTAATTTTATACATAAGACTTGCCACAAACTGGGTTCTGCGTTCGCTCAGAGGCTTCCAGTTTAATTCATTTAGAGCAAGTTCAGATTGACCATGTTCATTTTTACGACCCACGATAGCTCTAGCAGCCCTATTTTGTAATTTCTGGAGACGATCAGAAAGTGTGGTACCAATGGTGTCCCAAACTTCGCAACAATAATCAAGGTGAGGCAAAACAAGTGCATTATAGGCACAAATTAATGTATTACGGTCTACACATGATTTTAACTTTCTGATTGCCCCAATTCCGGATGAGACTTTTTTGGCAATTTTATCAATATGCTTTTCCCATGATAGAAATTCATCAATATAGACTCCAAGTGCCTTTATTTCTCTTACCCTTTTAATTGGTATGTCACCAACAAATACCTTTGGGGTAGCCAATATATCATTAATATTATGCCGTGATCCAATTAGTATGTACTCAGTTTTAACGAGATTTAAAGATAGTTTATTTGCACAGAGCCACTGATTAACGTTTGAAAGATCGTGATTGATGGCAACTTCTACATCATGAAGAGATTTACCAGATACAGTTAACGTTGTATCGTCGGCAAACATTCTTGATGACGAGTGTTCAAGACTTGTAGGCAGATCGTTTATATAAATTAGAAACAGGAGTGGCCCAAGAATTGAACCTTGGGGGATCCCACAAGTAACTAGATTTGTTCTAGACAATACGCCGTTCACAGTACACATTTGAAATCTGTTTTCTAAGTATGATCCTAAAAGATTTAGGGCAGGTTTTTGTAGACCATAAAGGTCAAGTTTCTTAATCAATATATTATGATTTATAGTATCAAATGCTTTCTGCAAGTCAAGAAATACTGCAATATTGAATTGACCACAGTCCATATTAATGAACCATTCGTTAGTATACTATCCAAAAGGGCAGAAGCTGTAGAATGGAACTGTCTAAAACCAAATTGATTTTGAGACAACAAATTATTAACAACAAAATAATCATATAGTTGACTATATAGAACTTTTTCAAAAACTTTACTTACTATAGGCAGAATGGAAATTGGGCGATATAGTTATTCCAGATGTTTCGAGGGCCATTTTTGTGTAAAGGGATAACTCTCGCTAGTTTCCACTCTGAAGGAACAGTTTCACTATAGATTGCCGTATTAAAAATTCTTGTCAGTGAATTTGCAATTATTGGCGCAGCAATACGAATAATTTTAGCGGGAATTTTATCAATTCCAGTAGATTTACAAGGATTTAAAGAGAAGAGAAGTTTGTATACTTTGGTTTCAGACACTGTTTGAAACTTGAAACTACTTGTTGGTTTTGTTATGTAATCCGTGAAATTTCTATCAGTATTACCAATGGTTGTGGCAATTTTTGGACCAATGTCCGTAAAGTAATTATTAAAGCGCTCCGCTAATTCATTTGGACAAGAAATTTTACCACTCTGAGTATGGATACAATTTATTTCGCGACATTCTTGTTTCCGGTTAAGAAATTTATTAACGGTTTTCCAAGCTTTTTTAGGGTCATGTTTGACACTTTCAAATTGTGCTTTATAATATGCTGTTTTTGCTTCTCGCTGCAGTGTACTAGTTATATGGTTTCTAGAAATTTTATATGCAGTCCAGTAATTTTCTGAATTGTATTTAACGGCAAGGAATTTGAGACGATCCCGTTCACGTAATTGTTTTTTAATTGCATTAGTCAGCCAAAGAATATTTGGTATATTTTTTACTCTCTTTTCTCTAATTGGTGCATGCTTATCTAGAACTGACAAGATAATAATTTTCCATGTTTCCCACATCCTGTCAACGCAGAAGTTATTGTCCAACAATTCCCATTCCTGATTACTCAAATCCATTAGGAAATCTTCCGCATTAAAATACTTAAAGTTTCGAATTTCGACTTTCTTGTGGCGGTTGTTTTGTTTAGGACGAATATTAATTTTACGAACAACTAAAATCATATAGTGATCGCTGATAGCAATCTGCACCACTTTAGATAAGACTAACTTATCTGGAGTTGGAGTTGAATATGGTCACACTGCATGTACCGATGTACGATTTATAGCGGGGCGTAGATAAAAGGCGGACGGACAGCGGACCGCGGACGGCGGATCGCGGAACATTTTAGAAACACATTACTACCGCAACTAACTATAATATACCTTAAATTAAAGTATACCAGCCTTAGATCTGTGAAATGAATATGTTTTCACCCATTCGAATTTTTAGCAATGGAATTTTTTAATCAGCATTTAAATGATTAAGTACGTATTTATGATAGGCTTTACGCCGTCGTTCACGGAAAACGTTTGGAAATATTGTAAAAAAGCGCCTCAGTTTTGGAGCTTCTGTTAGGCAAAATTAAATGACATTTACTTGCTGACATTTTCGTACTTTAAATAGTGCTAACTTGTTGTTTTATAATGAAAATAATCCTCGTTTTAATTATAAACCTAAGAAGTTCACATGTAGAAATGGCCGATTTGCACGCGACGACTATTCTATATATGGATTTCAGAAATATTATGTATTAGGGGCGGATTATTTGATGGGGTGGATTTTCATTGAGCCCAATAATTAACTGCATTGAGTTATTGATATTTTCCTGACATATTTATGTAAATCTAAATTACACAGTAATCAGTGTAACAAGCTGTTTGAAAAATGTATATATGTGTGCAGCTTAAATATTGGGTATTATATCATATGTATTCGAAGGCTTAGGGAAGGTTATAATTTCGTTCTACATTAATTTATATACAGTGGAATAGTAATCTGTAAGCACTCACATGAATGGACCTTGGCTACGTGTTAGCCTTTTAGTAAGTAAAACGGGGAATAATTTCATTATAAAAAACAAGTCAGCACAATTTAAAGTATGAAAATGACAGCAAGTGAATGTCATGTAATAGCCCCCCTAATAATATTTTAATTCAATGGCAGTGTTAGGGCAGTTATATATAGAAGCACCAAACTAAGGCGCTTTTTTGCAATATTTCCTAACGTTTCACGCGAAAGACGGCGAATAGCCTCCTATCATACATATGTATTGAATGCTGATTAAATTAAATTCCATTGCTAAAAATTCAAACAGATGAAAACATATTCATTTCACAGATCTAAGGCTGGTATACTTTAATTTAGGGTATTATAATTAGTTGCGGTAGTAATCATGTGTTTCTAAATGCTCCGCCGTCCGCGGTCCACCGTCCGCAGTACGCGGTCCGCCGTCCGCGGTCCGCCTTTTATCCGTCCGCTTTTTATCTACATCCTTTATAGCGTGCTAATTCTTTCCTTCGGAATTCTCTGAACCAGAAAACATGTGTATCCACTTAAAAATGCGTTAATACATTATGTATGCAGATTCCGATATTTACGTCATTCTACCTTTCGTATAAGTAATTTTTCGACTTTTGTATTTGTTTTTTTTTAATATATATATATTTTTTCACAGTAATGTTGTTGAAGTATCAAATTTTTCTCTGTTATAATTTTTTGAAGTTTTCATGTTGTTTTGATGTGGATATTAGCGAAAAAGTTTACGTCCTTGAGTCCTTCCCAATATAAATAAAGACTTTATGTACGACACAACTTCACTGCAAGTCATCATTCGCGACGATTGATCAGCTTCGCATGGTTTAAATAAGGGAGTGGTCATTATTTATGGGGATGGTAGGGATGGTTGGTAAATGGGGAAAGTAAGGATTGAAAACATTTTTGACCCTCCGCTCCTTGATAAAGGTGGAATTTTTTCTGCCCCCCCCCCCCAGTGTAAATTGAAAAATTAACAGCAATGAAACAAACAGGTGTGTGTTTCGGGTAAAGTTAGATACTAGGTCAATCTGTTTAACCCAGCTCATTATATTTTACCCTGGTGAATATGATTCAACCATATGCATATATGATTCAAAAGTATATATTATGCCTTGTTACTTTGCAATGCATCCATTTGTCCTATTGTTTCTCACAGTCTAAAACCTAGCTAATCCTAATCTACCCTAACCTACGGCCCGTCTTAATACAGCGAAATGATCTAGATTTGAACGGATTGACACCCAAAATCTAAATTTAACTACAACATATACGGTATATTGTTAAATGTAGGCATATTTGTGATTTATATTAAAATGTTAAAGAAACTGACATTAAATATCTCAACTTCCATATAAATCATAATATTCAACAAAAGGTAATTTGCAATTATAAATATCAGAATTCTAGACATGGTATTCAAGCCTCAAAAACATTTTTGACCCCTCCCCCCTTCTCTAGGTTAAAACTTTTTCGACCCCCCCTAGTTATAAAGGTGAAACTTCGTCCCCCCCCCTCCCCATAAATAATGACAACTCCCTAACACCTATGGCTACAAAAACAGTTGCTAGAATATTTTTGTTTTGATATTTTGTGTCTGCGTTATACTGGGCCACGGATTAGATTTTTCCCGCGAAAAGGACATAATATAGAATAACTACTTAGTTTGCATGCTTGTATTGAAATGTGGTAACTTATTTTCGATGTTTAAATCTCCGATGAGGCACTGACAATTTGAGCTTTAGTACATTATTTAGTAGACATATTGATGGGCCGCAGTGTAAGTGCGTTTAAAATGTACATATGTCAGTTAATTTTGTTTATTGTAAATTTGTAGTTTTAATAGTAGGTATTTATTGTTACCTCCCAGATTCTGGGAGACACGTGACCAGACAATACCAGGGTATCTTATCAGCAGGTGGCCGTGGCACTAGAGTGAGAGAGAAAATAGCCTGGGAACGAGGTTGGGCCATAGATATCTCATATACACTAGATAGCGCATCCCACCCTGTAGCCGGGCGAAAATTGAAGCCTGATCGCAGTCGCATTTTACGCGAGGCGGCCATATTGGTCGTTCCCACGGAGCGTGATAATTTGTATATTTTGTATTGCGGAAATGGACAAAGTTGACCATAAATCCTCTTTTATGCAGTCAATTTTGGGTTTTTAAGTGTGGAACTTGTTGTCAATGATGCCAGATCGTTGGAGCTTCATATTGTGAATAACGGGTAGGCAAAATTTAATTATTTTTTCTGAAAATATCAATATTTGTCGACCCGTATGAAGGGCGGCCATATGACAACTATGGACAAACCATTGCGATTTTTCAATATTTTGCTGTTAAATATATCATGTTGTGTGTGGAATTAAGATTTTGATGCATATTCATATATAAATATAGTTCCACCAATTCCAAATAAGACATTATGAGCTAGTATCGCCATTGCTTCATGGCAAAATTGTAAATGTACATGAAAGACGGCAACATTGAAAAACATTTTAGTCACAGTTTATCAATTATGGCAAAAGTAGTCAATATAAAATATGGAATGAACCAAAACAAAAATGATTCTTACTTCTTAGTATGTGTATATTTATTTACATACAACATATCATGTATTATTTTATAGTTCCATGGAATCACATCATGATCAAAATCTATTAGAAGCTAGAGAACAATTGCAACTTTATATTCGCAGGCAATATAGTAACGTAATTGCTATTGTTTTATGTAAATATAGTTGATAATCCAATGGTGTGAATATGCTTCAAACTATCTTTAATTGATGTTAAGAAATATTTCTTTCTATTGAGTCCTGTGAGTACAAGACCTTTTGCTTTTAATTCAAGCAATCAAACTGCCAAATTACTGTAATAGGTCACTGTTTTAATACAGTAATTTGTATTTTAGAACTGCTTTAGGCTAATATGGGAAAACCTGTTTTGTAATGACACACATTATTTCTTGCATTATTGTATAAGATCAGTGAAATAAACTGCTTGATGCACAGTAAATTTTAT